TATCTTTCAAAACTGTTTAATATGCAAATAGTTCAGCTTCATACCTTTAAAATGACTACTTTCACATCTCCATACGATTTTTCTACGATTTATGGTGATTTTTACAAAACTGTCTATCATTTCATAAACGAATTCGGACAAGTCTGTGAATATGAACATTATAACACAAGTTAAAGACTTCTAAAAATCATAATACAAATTATGAATAAACTAGACACATTTTGTGAACTCTCAGAATTTACGGATTCAGTTTTCGACTTCGTATAATTTTTCTAAAATAGTGTAGAAAGGTTAAAAACTAGTTAACAGCTTACAACTTTCATAACACTTTGTAATATGTTGAGCAAAGTGTATAACCATAAGTTCTAAATATTGAATGTATTTTCTTGTTAGTTCATCATCATAAACTGAAATTTAGTCATTCATGATAAGGTTTCTTCATTCATTTCGAACACATATAATAAACTACAATAAGCATAGTTTATGGATTTTTACTACATGAAAAAGGTTTTACTCTCAAAACAAATAGGTTTTTCATATACTACATGATAAACTATAATAGTAATAGTTTAAAGATTTCATATCACTAATTTATTATAAAAGGTGATTTTACTTCCTCCACGGAAGAGGTTTAATATCAAACTATGTGTAAACTAGTTAACTTAGGTTGTGAGGCAATTCTCTCCCCGTACGTTCGAGTACGGGATCCCAATTCCTGTAAGTTATAACCAGAGTCTCTTGTAGGGAGAGCGTGATAATTGTGTATAGATCTATATTGGGATTGACACCCCACACCTCGCTGCTAGCTACAGCCGGACCGGCAGGTCTGCGGGTGACAAGAGTCATAGTATCTTAACGTCTGAAAAACGTTGTGCAGGTTATTTCTCGTCATAGTATGGTTATAGCGACTCACATAGGTAGTTAACAATCTTTCAAGTTTACATGGAAAATTCTACTTTGAAAAGGGGTTTACTTCTAAAATAAACGATTTTATGTCGATTTAAACTTGCATGAATTACTTTAAGTATGGAAAAATACTTGTTATTTTCTCGGTCCTGTGATTTAGGACTACATAACTTTTATAAGGAAAATATTGGATTTTCTTTGGAAACATATTTCTATTAAAACTACATTTCATCTAGAATTGTTAGACTTCAGCTATAATTGCTAAGTGTATATGCTAGAGTTATATAAGGATCTAGTCACAATCGACTTAGAATTGGTGGGCCCGCCTTATCTCCTGTTCCTTGTTTGGTTGTGGACCTAGGGCAGACCCATTATATTCAACGGTTTATTTAACTTAAATTTTATATAACTTATATACGCTGGGCAATTATAGAAGGAATCTATGGGTCCTTCTAGGGTACATTATCGCATAACATAGGAGCATTCATTTCACACTTAATAAAGAAAATATTGGATTTTCTGGAAACATACTTTGTCGCTTTTACAAGGAAAACGGTCTCTTTCTCAAACAAAAACTCTTATGAACTCACCAACTTAATTGTTGACACTTTTCAAAACTACTTGTATTCTCAGGAAATCAGTGAAACAGGAAACCAACAACATTTTGAGGATGGGACGTTAAATCGCTAAACAGTTCATTTTGTCATCATAATGTAATTGATTTTGAAACATATAAACATATACTATGGTGTAACCTTTTCAATTATATTTATGATGGTTGTATTTACTTTGAGCACTATTATACTCGTTGTTGTGATACTATACATGAAGTCCTCCACCCCCGGACGTTTCCGCCATCCTTGGTTTGGGGGTGTGACACTAATCAACACAAGGTATGTTTGTAAAGTATTTAACATAATATAATATATAATTTAATAAATATTTACATTTCTAACTTCACTTATTACTGGTACATATGCAAGGTTTGGTTGAGGCAGTCAAAGAAGTATTCCCAGCAGCAGAACATAGGCAGTGTGCTAGGTATATATATGCTAATTTTAGAAAGAGGTTTAGTGGAGCCAAGTTTGAAAATTTGTTTTGGAGAGCAAGCAAGGCAACAACTGAAGCACATTTTAACACATCCATGAAAGATATTGAAAATTTGAATCCTGAAGCGGTTAAGCATCTTATGGATAGAGATCCAAAGACTTGGTATCTAGCTTTTTTTAGAGTTCACAATTCATGTGAATATGTGGAGAATGGGTTTTCAGAGAGCTTTAATAGTGTCATTTTGGATGCTAGGAAGAATCCTATTATTAGTATGTTGGAGGACATTCGTATATATGTGATGCAAATGATGGTCACTATGAAACTCACAGGTGAAGGATGGAACCGTTATTCTGTTTGTCCAAACATCAGATTGAATATTCTCCAAAATGAGCAAAGGTATGCATACTTTTATTTCATACATAACTTACCTCTGTCAACTCTAAAATTTGTATTGCTTTATGTAGGCATTGGCAGGTTGTGTCTTGTGGGAGTATGAAGTTTGAAACAAGGAATATGGATGAGTCATACGTTGTCGATGTTACAAAAAAGGAATGGAGTTTTAGATTATGGCAACTAAATGGGTATGGTTGTGTTCATTCAGTAGCTACATTAGCTTTTTTAAACATAACACCTGATGGGCCATATGTAAACTCTATGTACTTGGCAGCCTTCTTCCATAATACTTACAAAAAGTCTATTAGTGGCATGAATGGGATGAACATGTGGCCTTCAACAACCTTTACACCTCCATTGCCTCCTTTGAAAAGAATAATGCCAGGCAGGCCAAAAGTCAAAAGAATAAGGGATGCTTATGAAATGTTTGGAAAACACACTGTTTCAAAGGCAGGAAAAAAGGTTTCTTGTGGCATATGCAAAGAAAAAAGGGCACAACAAGACCACTTGCACTCAAGTGCCAAGGCCAAACTAATGTCACAAAGAAACAAAAAATCTTGCAAACACAAGAATCAGTGAATATGCAAGGTGTTGAAGAAGATGTTGTTATGGGTGATACAGTTGAGCCACAAGTTGTTGAAGTTATGATGGTAAACGAATCTGAGCAAGTGGTGAGGGTTAATGAAGCTGAGGAATAGGTAAGGGTTAATCAAGTTGTTAGGCAAGTGAAAACTACGGGTCAACCAAGCAAAAGTAAAAAGTCAGAGAGAATTCTTAAACTAAAGCTTGCAAATAGAGTTGAAGGTGAAGGTAGTAGTGTTGGATCACCAATGGAGTTAGATTAATTACACTTGTAATTGTGTGTCTGTAATGTGGATTGAACAAGGGAATTTATGTTTGCTATGTTGATGTATGTTATACAAATCATAACATTTGATATTTGGATGTGTGTTTGTATTTATAATATGTTTGGTATGTCATGTTATTATTAAATTAGGGATATTTTGGTCATTTGAATCAGTTAAAGCAATAGGTGTATGGTATGTCATGTTATTATTAAATTAGGGGTATTTTGGTCATTTGAATCAGTTAAAGCAATAGGTGTATGGTATTTCATTTTTTTTATTAAAGTAGGGGTATTTTGGTCATTTGAATAAGTTAAAGCAATAGGTGTATGCTATTTTATGTTTTTTTATTAAAGTAGGGATATTTTGGTCATTTGAATCAGTTAAAGCAATAGGTGTATGGTATTTCATGTTTTTTTATTAAAGTAGGGGTATTTTGGTCATTTGAATCAGTTAGTACAATATTTGTATGGTATTTCATTTTTTTTATTAAAGTAGGGGTATTTTGGTCATTTCAATAAGTTGAAACAATAAGTGCATGGTATTTCATGTACTTATTAAAGTAGGGGTATTTTGGTCATTTCAATCAGTTAATATAATAGTTGTATGCTATTTCATGTTATTATTATAGTAGGGGTATTTTAGTCATTTCAATCAGTTGAAACAATAAGTGTATGGTATTTCATGTCCTAATTAAAATAGGGGTATTTTGGTCATTTCAATCAGTTAATACAATAGGTGTATGCTATTTCATGTTATTATTATAGTAGGGGTATTTTAGTTATTTCAATCAGTTGAAACAATAAGTGTATGGTATTTCATATACTTATTAAAGTAGGGGTATTTTAGTTAATCGAAGAAGTTAAATTACATACAATTCCCCCAGGTGTATTAGTCTCATTTTAATTAGTAAAAGAGGGCATGTGAATGTTAGTTTAGGGGTATTTTTGTCATTTTAATTTGTTAAAGAACTAGAGATATTTCAATCATTATTTTTTATGTTAATAAACCAATCAGGGGTATTAGTGGCAATTTATATTATTTCACCAAACCCACTAAGGGTATTTCAGTCAATATGTATTATGTCACCAAACCCAGTAGGGGTATTTTAGTCATAACTTTATTATTCAAATTTGGCAATCACAAATACAACAAAGTAAAGGGGTATCCTAATTTTATTTTTAGGGTAACCCAAAAAAAATTTCGGGGTACTTGGGCTTCCCCGGTTCAATTTCAGTTTTAAACCCAAATCTTAATCGAATCCTTAGCTAACCTCAAGTCTTGTTATATAAACATGAAGTTGAAGTATATTTTGATACTTGAATCGATGTGGGATTCAAAGTAGATATCAAATGAAGTATGAGGATAACAGGCTTATATAATAGACAAAAATGGTTGAGTTTACATATGTTTGGCGATGTGGGATAGAATAGCTGGGAAAATAAAGCAAAAATAAACAAAAAATATGCAAGGAGCAAGAATTAAACCTGAGATCTTTATTTTAGTAAGGCAGCTCCTTAACCAACAGCTCTACTATTTGTTTGTGTTTATAATTGAAGGGATACATATATATACATTATACCGAAAAAAAATTGAAGAATTCGTAAACAAAAATTACACTACCGAAAAAAATTTGAGGGGTATCCCGGGATAGGATCCGCCTGTGAACCAGGTTATGAATTGTGCCATTTTAGGGCAAAAGCTTCACAATTTATACGGAGGCGGGTGAACAGTGTGAACTTGGGACTTACGTTTCATATTCCAAAACGACGCCGTTTGGGTCCAAGACTTAAATTCAATGTCACCATGTCATCGATGATGTGTAAAATTGGGACGATGTGGCAAGGTTACCGGGTATAACAAGTCAAGGGGACTAAATTGCTAGGTTGCAACACAATTCACTTAAAAAGTTTAGTGACTAAAAGGATAAACCGGAGTTTTTATACCAAAATAATGTCATACACTTTATACTCGAGTTTTTATACCAAAATACCCCATTAGGATCCCTTGTTTGATTGCTGCTGGTCTTTGACACCCGCTTCTACGCATTGGCTGGCTACAGTCATATCTCAATCAATCCCCACAAAAGTTACTGCTGGCCTGAGTCTTCACCGCTTTGCGATCAGTTTCTTCTTTCCCAGAAAATTTTGTAACTAATCAGGTACTGCTCCCTCTATGTCTGTTTCTTTTCGCAAAACATTGAAAAAGACTTTAGAATGGTTGCAGGAACAACTTTTAATTTTTATGACTCTTTCTGTAATGATTCAATCCAACTCTTTTTTCGTGTTTTTATCTCAAGGGAAATTCACCAAAATTCACTTTGTTCAACTTCTTTATTGCTGGAGCTGTAGTTGGTCTAATTATTCATTCGAATGCGTTTTCTGTTCATTGTAGTTTAAACGTACACCAGGTGTTCGACGTAATGCTAATGTCTAATTTCTCTTATTTCATATTTGTCCTCAGGCGCAAAATAGGTTACATTTTGCAATCAGAATACAGGTTTATTAATCATCACAAGCAGTTCTTAATGCATGTCTCTCTCACGTGTTCATACTCTTTCACGTCAGAAGATCTTCTACCACTTTCGTATCACAACTCTTCTACCAAGAAACTTAGTCCACCACTCAATCTACAATGAACGTTCTCCTCCTTTACAGTTCAATAAAGGTATTATGCACATGTGAATTTATACAACACATATACAATTTGTACATCTCCTAAAAGGACAGGAAAACATGATCTTGAGATGTTGAGATTGTTTTTCATTGCTAGGTTCACACTTCCATCATTCTACTTTCGAAAATAGACATTGGTTTTCTACCATTCGAGCTCATGATGATGTAAGCAATGATATCAAAGACTCTTGTGTTGAAACCAGTGGGACCCAGTTAAGTGGAAAACCAGTTGAATTCAGCAAAGTAGATGCCCGCTTGCTTCCAACTGTACTTCTTATTGGCAGACCCAATGTTGGCAAATCTGCATTGTTTAATAGGTTAGCTGTTCTTGGATAGTTACATACATACATACATTTATATCTACATACATACATACATACATACATACATACACATTGTGTGGGATCTATTGTAGGTTGATTAGAAGGAGAGAGGCACTTGTGTACAACACTCCTAATGACCATGTGACTAGAGATATACGAGAGGGGATTGCAAAATTGGGTGATTTAAGATTTAAGGTGTTGGATTCAGCTGGTTTAGAGGCTGAAGCTTCATCTGGTTCTGTTCTTGAAAGGACTGCAGAAATGACAGCAAATGTGTTGAGGATGTCCAATCTTGCACTATTTCTCATAGATGCAAGGTTAGCTTCATAACCTGTTCATTTGGATATCTGTTTTGATTAAAAGCTTTAGTTTTTGTTTATCTTGAGTGTATGATATAATAATATCTTTATTTGTTGTTGATTAGAGATGGATTGCAGCCTATGGATTTGGATGTTGGAAAGTGGCTTAGAAAGCATGCTCCTGGAATCAAGATTATTATGGTGATGAATAAAGCCGAATCACTTGATGATGGATTTGGTTCAGTTGATGCTGCTTCTGGTGAAGCCCAAATCTTGGGATTTGGAGATCCCATTCCTCTCTCAGCTGAAACCGGTTTGGGTATGAATGATTTATATGAAGTTCTTAGACCACTTCTTGAGGAACATATGCTGAAGAATATCAATGGTAAGATTATTCATACATTATATCATCCTACTTTCATTTCTTTCTATAACAGGCTATAATCTTTATATTGCAACTTAGAATCTGTGGATGAAAGTAATGAAGATTGTGAGTCTAGTGAGCAAGAGGATGAGTCAAAGTTACCATTACAGCTGGCATTTGTAGGACGACCTAATGTTGGAAAGTCAACCTTGTTGAATGCAATTCTGCAGGAAGATCGTGTTCTTGTGGGCCCAGAAGCTGGTTTAACTAGAGATTCAGTTAGAGTTGAGTTTCAGTATGAAGGGAGAACGATATACATGGTAAAACACCTTACAATTCTCTTTTCCGTTTTCAGTTCCATTGTAAATGACCATTTTACCCTTGTATAGGTTGATACTGCGGGTTGGTTACAGAGGACAAAGTCGGAAAAAGGACCAGGGTCCTTGAGTGTTGTCCAGTCAAAGAAAAATCTAATGAGGGCTCATGTTGTTGCTTTGGTCCTCGATGGCGAAGAGGTTTGGTTGAATAATTGAATTCTACACTTTCTTGCATAAATATGTTCACAAGGGTAAAATGGTCATTTTGGTCTCTTTGTGAAGGTTTCAAAAACTCGGAAAAGCATGACACATGATGAAGTAGTGATAGCAAGAAGATCTATAGAAGAAGGGAGAGGTTTGGTAATAATTGTGAATAAGATGGATCTTCTCAAAGATAAATTATATGATCGGGTTGTTAAAGCTGTTCCTGAAGAGATTCAGACAATCATACCCCAAGTAAGCTACGTTTCTTTTTGACTTAATGGAGAAAATTTTGGTTTGAATTTTGAAATATTTGATTTTTGATTTGACAGGTGGCAGGGATCCCGGTTGTATTTGTTTCAGCATTAGAGGGAAAAGGAAGAATAGATGTGATGGAGGAGGTGATTCAAACATACAAAAAATGGTGTTTAAGGTTATCAACTGCTCGCCTTAATCGTTGGTTATGCAAGGTATATTTTTATTAGGGCAAATTTGTAAGAAAAAGTAATAATGGAAATAAATGAAAGTATGATGCTATTTCTTTTAGGTGATGAGCCGACATTCATGGAAAGATCTTGCATCTCAGCCAAAAGTGAAGTATTTCACACAAGTGAAAGCCCGACCACCGACTTTTGTCGCGTTTGTTAGTGGAAAAACACGGCTTTCAGACACGGATTTAAGGTTCTTAACAAGATCTTTAAAGGAAGACTTTGATATGGGTGGGATACCCGTTCGTATTTTGCAGCGTGTTGTCCCAAAAAAAGGCACAACTGGCAGTAGCAGTAGCAGTAGCAGTAACAGTAACAGTAATAGTAAAAGTAAGAAAAATGGCGGGAAATTCGTTGCGGGAGAGGCATCCGACAAGAGGATACTCAATGTGGTGAAAGATTAAACTATACATTAAAGGGTTGTACATTGTAGACGAAAATCATCTACTTAAATCACGGAATTTGTTTCGAGGGTTTTTTATTTTATTGGCATTTTGTTTTTCTTTTTCTTTTATATAATCGAGTGGGAGTCCATGTCCCACCTTTTGAGCTAGATAAAGAATTTCAATTTTGTTCTACTAGCATCGGTCTCAGTCCAATACATGCAAAAACACAGTTTTGTAACCTACCAATAATCGTTGCAAGAGCATAAACCATCACGAAACAAATGAAACCTATTATTATCCCTTACAATAATCTCTCTACCTTCCAACTTTGACAAAATCTTCATAGCTTCATGACAATCCCAACAAACCCTTAAATTCTTCACAATTCTAATACTACTTCCTTTTTCACTCACAAGAATAGCAAAACAAACAGCTAACTTCTCACTATGAGTCCCAACCATCTCTTCCTTCTCTTCATCTTCAACATCTCTCAACACACTCTCCTTATCGACATTATACCCAACCACCCTCATTTTCTTTCTTAATTCCATTAATAACTTGTATATATCATCCGATCTTTCGTGTGACTTATCACCTACAATAAACTTATGTAATTTCCCATTATACTCCACGAAACTCCATCCGGTTGTTTTCTTTACTCCTATTACTTTCATTTCCTTTCTTACCCTCTCAACATCACCCCATTTCCCCATTGAAGCGTACATATTTGAAAGCAAAACATAATTACCCGAATTTTGTGGCTCAATTTTGAAAAGCTCATTTGCTGCAAACTCTCCGAGATCAATTCGTTTTCGAATTCGACTCGCGTTTAGAAGCGAACCATATACACCTGCGTGAGGTGCCATTGGCATTTTTTCAATTAACTTTTTGGCTTCATCAAGCTTACCCACTCGACCTAATAAGTCAACCATGCATGCATAGTGGTCAACATCTGGGGTGGTGATGGATTCGAATAGTTTTTCACCTTCTTTTATTAGTCCTGAATGACTACAAGCTGTTAAAACACCGATATATGTGATTCTATCGGGTTGAAAACCATCTTTTTTCATCTTTTTTATTAAATCGATAGCTGAAAATCCATCACCATGAGCTGCAAAACCTGTAATCAAAGTGTTGAAGGAGATAACATCGTGTTGTTTCATTTTGTTAAAGATTCTTTGAGCTTCTTTCATGTTTCCACATTTGGAGTACATAAAGATTAAAGAATTGTAACCCGAAATACTCAGATTGATTTGGTTTTCGTTTATGATTTTTAAAGCCCAGTTTCCTAACTCCAATGCTCCTAAATGGCCACATGCAGATATCACACTTACCATGGTAACTTCATCTGGTTTTATGTTTTTAGAACACTTGATCATTTCCTTGAAGATATCAATTGCCATTGTTGATTGACCATTTTGTGCATAGCCAGCAATCATTGAGTTCCATGACACTACATTCTTCCCTGGCATTTTATCGAACAGTTGTCTTGCAGAATTTAAATCACCAACACGTGTATATGCAGAAATCATTGCATTCCATGTGACAGCATTTCTGAAAGCACCCAACTCGTTAAAAATCTTTCTAGCAGCTTCAAGATTCCCACATTTTGCATACATGTCAAGTAATGCAGTATGAACAAAGCTATTCAATCTAACATTCTTCTCATTGAGCATTTTCACAAGTGAATTTGCAAGTTTAGGATCTGCACGTTCTGAACATGATGAAATGACAGAAACCCATGTTGTTTCATCAGGTTGAACATTGGAACTAATCATCTTGTTGAACAATTCTATAGCCTCTTCTGCAAACCCATTTTGGGAGTATCCTGATAACATTGCATTCCAAGAAACAACATTTTTCTCTTGCATTTCATCGAAATACATCCTTGCTGTTGCCAAATCTTGAATATTTGAATATCCTGTAATCATTGCAGTCCATGTGATCACATTTCTCTCAGGCATTAACGTAAACAGTTTATGAGCTTCAACCCTTTTACCCCATCTCCAATACCCAGAAATCATGGAGTTCCAATCTGCAGCCATCCTCTCAGACATTTCATCGAACAGTTTACGTGCAAAACAAATAGGCCCATATTTCGCATACATACCCATGATAGCATTACGTACGTAACGATCAGACTGATGTCCTGTTTTCAAAACATGACCATGTAAGACAATCGCGTCCTTTCCGAATGATTTAATCACGATCGGAAACACAAATGCGTCTGGTGTGATACCGGAGATCCGCAAACTATGAAAGAGGGTGATGACATCAGCATGGGCTCCGACGTGGGAGTAGAACTTGAGCATGTTAGTGAACACGTAGACATTTGGTTGGTCTGTGGAGTTGAAAATGAGGCGGGTGTAGAAAGGTGGCGCACGGAGGCGCGTGCAGTGGCTGATGAGGAGTGACACCCAGTAGTTATGGTTGTGGAGTGAATGCTGAATGATCTGCGCATGGAGCTGTTTCAAGTGTTTGAAGCGGGATATTGCAGTGGCGTTCAAATGTGACATTTAAAACTTAAAAGCTTTGGTTTATGAGTTTGTAGGAAGATTATAAGTTGTTTCCTTTTTGTAAGTTTCTAGGAAGGTTATATGAGGACAAACAGAAGGATCTATTCCAAATCAAGTTGCATTTAATTATACTACATAAGGCCTGATATATGAAGTCTATAGAAGAGATATTTGAATATAAAGATAGATTGAGAAATTGGTTGATTGTGACACAATAATTAATATAGAATTAAAGCCTTTCTTGTTATGATAATGAGTCCCAATCATCCCCTTTCCTCTCTCGAATTTCTTGAAGATTTTTAAGTATTCATAATGGCTATTCTGGATGAACTTTGTGAAGGATCTTCATCTTCTTCACTAGCTCATGATCACATATATGATGTGTTCCTAAGTTTTAGAGGTGTAGACACCCGTCATAGTTTCACAGACCACCTACTCAAGGCACTGGTTGATGCCAACATTCACACCTTCTTGGATGATGAAGATATCCAAACAGGAGAAGATCTTAAACCAGAACTTGATAGAGCAATCAAAGGTTCAAGGGCTTCTATTGTCGTGTTGTCCAAGAACTATGCTTCTTCAACATGGTGCCTTGATGAACTTGTATTGATCCTTGAGAGGCGTAGGACCTCTGATCATATTGTCATCCCTATTTTCTATCATGTTAACCCCACAGATGTTAGGAAGCAAGAAAGCAGCTTTGGAGGTGCATTAGCAAAGCATAAACAAAGAATGGAGGCTGAGACAAATGTGGAGAGGAAAAGTCAATGGGTTCAAAAGATTCAGCAATGGAAGAAAGCACTTATGGAAGTTGCCAATCTAAAAGGGAAGGATGCATATGGCCGGTAATTACTATGAAGTACTTTGAAATTTTAACCATAACATCGTTTTAAAAAGTTGTCTTTCATATTTGGTTTGTTTTGTTTCCAAATTAGTGTTTGTAGTTCTAAATGAAGTAAGTTTTCAGGCGAGAGACAGAATTTATTGAAGAAATTGTTGCGGACATTGAAGCTACAGTAGGTGTACACTCTCAGCCTGAATTACCACTCCTTTTTGGGATGCAATATTCCATTCATTCCATTACTTCATGGTTGAAAGATGGATCCTTGCATACTGCTGACATTCTCACTATTTCGGGTATGGATGGGATTGGGAAAACATCTTTGGCTAAATATGTATATGGCTTACACAATCATGTTTTCGACAGAAGTAGTTTTATTGAAGATATTGGGAGGAGAAAAGCACAACAGTTTAATGGATTTCTGGATTTACAGAAACAACTATTTGATGACATTTCAAAAACAAGTTTGGTTCAAGTTCGGGATGTTTCTATTTATACGCATAAGATTGAGAATGTTCTACTTCGTAAAAAGGTGTTTCTAGTTCTTGATGGTGTTGATAGCCTTGAACAATTGGATGTCTTACTTGGGAACAAAGGTTTTCATCCGGGAAGCAAAATTATAATAACAACCAAAGACGTCTCTTTGGCACAAGGTTATGTACTCTTCCACTCCATAGCTCAACCTAAACATACAAAACACTTACTTGAAGGCTTACATAAGACTGCATCTCTACAACTTCTAAGTTTTCATGCATTCATGTGCAACTTTCCCATGAAAGGTTATGAAGAGGTGTCGAAAAAGCTTGTACATTATTGTGAAGGGCATCCTTTGGCTCTTGAGATTTTGGGAAAGTCTCTACGTAAGCGAGATGTAGCAGAATGGGAGGACTACATAGATGGGCTAAAGAAAGAAACTGATTCTCGTATAAAAAAGATATTGCAAATGAGCTTTGACTCATTGCTATCCAAAAATGATAAGGAATTGTTTAAGCATATTGTTTGCTTTTTCATTGGAAAAGATAGAGAGTTTACTGAAACAATACTTAAGGCATGTGGTATTCGCACACTACTTGGGATGGGGAATCTTATTGATGGATGCCTTCTTAGGATCGGACCAAACAACGTGTTGAGAATGCATAATTTGCTTCAAGAATTTGGGAGAGATATAATTGATCAAGAATCTACGAAGCCATGGAAACGGAGTCGACTATGGCGTCATGAAGAGTCATTAAGTGTGTTGAATCAAGAAAAGGTAACATACTATATATACTTCATAATAATCCTTCGTTTTTGTATCATTTAGTATTGTTATATATATATATAATATATATATATATATATATATATATATATATATATAACCTTCTACCATTTTCTAATTTTACCTTTCTTTTTAGGGTAAGGAAAATCTTCAAGGTCTTGTCCTTGACATGAAAATGCTTGAGAAAGAGGGGTTACAAGGACCGTTCGAATTGAAAAAAGATGCCTTTAGTAAGATGGGTAACCTAATGTTGCTTCAACTCAATTATGTACAATTCAATGAGCTCTATAATAATTTTCCAAAAGACCTAAGATGGTTGTGTATGCATGGCTTCCCTTTAGACTATATACCTTCAAACCTATGTCTGCAGAGTCTGGTTGCTCTTGACATGTCTTTTAGCAACTTCAAAACGCTTGATATGTCTTATAGCAACCCAAAAAAAGTTTCCAAGAGCCAAAAGGTAAGAAATCCATAGCTTCTGCTTCAACCTTTTCTTCTTCCACATTGAGTAAAGGAAATTTGTTGATATCTTTTTTGTGCTACTTTAAATTATCAGTCGGACAACAACTCATGCTCAAGATATAAACGGTTGCTTGGATCATTAAAGATTCTTAATCTCAGTTTCTGTACTCAACTTTCTAGTCTCAGTGGCTTTTTCGAACTACCTGCACTTGAGCGATTGTTACTTTCAAGTTGCCAAAGCTTGATTGAGGTTTGTGAATCAATTGGACTATGTGAAGAACTTGTCCTCATTGATCTAAGTTACTGCAATAAGATTAACAAGCTTCCAAAAAGCATAGGCAAGTTAAAGAAGGTTAGAACATTATCGCTAAACGGCTGTTTAAATCTATTTGAATCTCCAATTGAGATGAACAATATGAAGTCGGTCAAATTGATGAAGGCCAATGACATTAGCACAAACCCTCAAGCCAACTCCATTGCATCCATAATTCCAGTATCTATTTTTCAGTTTTTACCCACTTCATTAGTAACCTTGTCGCTTGAAGACTGTAAGTTGGTTAATGAATCCTTTCCCATGGATTTTAGTAGCCTACCAAATTTGATGAATTTGCATTTAGATGATAATCTAATTGTTTCCTTACCTCATTGTGTGAAAAGCCTCGGTAAGCTGGAGGTGCTTGGTTTGGCTTATTGTGGTATGATGAAGACGATAAAGCATCCTCCAAGTACCCTAAAATATTTGGACTTAATGGGGTGCACTTCGCTACAACAATTGGTATTTAATCCAGAAATGTCCCCTCTCATGCTAGAACCTTTAAAATATGATATACCACGATTGTCTCTTGAAATAGATGGCATGGTCAAAATCCAGCCTCTAGCACATGTTGAAGAAGAGGTATTATGTTCTTTGGGCTGGAAAAATATGGAGTTAGTCAAACATCAAGAAGTGAACATTGGGACTAAAAACGAAACACGAAAACATCCGGTTCAGGTTCTTTATCTTATCCGTTACTATGTATTATTTGTATATGTATCTAATTGGTGTCATCGATGAGAGCCTACTGGTTGAGGTGCAGAATTCCACATAGGAGGTCTAGGGTTCAAACCCTGACATGGTGTTCTGCACTTGACCTCCCATGTGGGCCCTAGGGTGGGTTGATATTTACCATTTTTCTAATCATACTAATTAAATTATACTTCTACATTTGGCAGATATTTTATGAATTTGGAATATTTAGCACTTATTATTGCGGGAAAGAGATTCCAAATTGGATTAGTTATAGAAGCAAGGGGTCATCAATATCTTTTACCATGCCATGGTCTCCTAACAATCTTCGAGGCTTGAATTTTTGTTTCGCGTATACAGTTCCAAGTGCTCTTTTTAATTTTTTGCCAGACATCATAGTTAGTAATATAACAAAGAAGCAGATTTGGATGTACGTTCATTGTGCTTGGGCAGTTTATATAGTTGAAGGAGTATGGTTAAGCCATTGGATGTTTACGAAGAACGAGATGGAATATGGTGACCTAGTTACTATTACCCAACAAGAGGACACGCATGGTATTGCTGTTACTATAAAGGAGTGTGGGATTAGCCTTGTGTATGATGATGGAATCATGGAAGATTGGTTGGGTTATTACAAATCGTGGAATCACATTATTGGTGGAGATCTTTCTGGTTTTCAGTTAACAAGTGGAGCATACGTCCTAGAATGCCATCGTTTTTGGGAAGATAACAATGTTACTCTAGATGAAAATGAAGCTAACTATAAAGGTATGTGCCTAAATCTTCTGATAATTGTTTCTCTCATGTTCATGGTAGATTACATATACTAATAATATGCTAAATTCCCACATACACAAAGACATCAATAATTTATCTTGATGGTGTTTTAATGATATATAATTTGTGCTTAATTTTTTGCGATTATTACCAAATATTTAATCTATTTCATCTTATTAGATAAGCAAGTGTATTTTAGAGCTTTCTCTCAAAGGAAGCATGGCGAATTGGATAGCTCCTAAGGTACCTTTATATCCCGAAAACATAATTTTCATCACATAAAAAAACAAATGTTACAAGTTTATATAAAATATGTTTTCATGCAAGCTTAGCATGAAACGAAATATGAGAGTGAAAACTTGGAGCTCAAGATTTATGATTTTGGAATCGGATATATAAGTATACTTCAAGAGCCTCGCGTGGAAAATATCAATAGGCAAAAAGAAATACTGCCTAACAGTGCAGATACTTGTGGTTAGAGACGTATGTTTATTTGATCGGTTGGATATACCTTAGTAACTTTAGTATTTTTGATGTATTGACATTTGACTTAGTATTAATGCTTTTGCTGATATTTGATTAAGACAACTCACGATTTTATATTCTAAATATTACTGTTTATTTAACGTTTGAAAATAATTCAGTTTTTTTTT